TTACCTTTTCTAACATATCTTTCTAGTAAAAGACTACAGCCATCAATACACTGGGTTCAATTATAGAGAAAAATAACGCAGATAGTGCAGGTGTTGAGTAAATAAAATGATCGCTGTATTGGCGGCATGTTTGTTTTTTTGCAATCCTTGTGCGCGCGCTGAATTGCATCATCAAAAGCGCGCGCGAAAACTGTGTTTGGCCACCTTAAGTTGCGTGGACGTTTATCGGCAGAGTTTTAGACAGTTTCCAGTGAGCAGTTGTTGTGCCTTTTAGAGAGTTTTTTGCCGTTTAGAGTTAACCGTTTTACCGATTTTGGAGTGTTTTGGTCGAGTACCGTTTCCGTTTACCGCTAACGAACAATCACTATGTAGTAGGGGGTTTTAGCAAAACACGACGGCGACGGCGACGAGAGCGTCACCAAACAAAAGGTTTAATGAGCAGAACAATGGTTCTGCACTTGCGTTCTGAATTTTGGTACATTTCTTTGCCGTCCTCCGCAAAGCAGCAACGTGAAATGACCAAGTTCTACTTTTCTAATGGTTCTTCCCTTATTTCACATATCGCGAGCTACTCAGGACACAGTGGTTGTTTACCATTTACTCGAAAAAACCGGTTGGTCGACAGTAGTGGTAAATGGAACGCGTCAAATCCCGAATGGAAATCTCCACGGGGGTACGTTCGGTCCATTTCCACGACTTTTTCCCGGAAGATAGGATCAAAGGCGATCCAAGCCAAAAGGTTTGAAACTAGTAAAAACTAGCAAATGGAACGCACATTTTCCATTCGGAAATTCCGTTTGGGAATCTTGATCTACCTTTCAAAAAATCCCGTTTTCCCGAGAAAAATTCCGTTCGGGGAAACATTCCATCAGAAATTTCCGGATTTGGGGGGTATATGGTAATCAACCAGTCTTGAAGATTACGTCATAATGATGACGTAATGCCCCAAATCCTCCTCTTGCTGGCCTGGAAAACAGGTTCTTCAAGTTTTTCACAACCTCTTTCGTCGTTCCGTTCGCCGCGATCTCTTTTTTAGCTCGTATGTCACCGCTGACCGAAACGCGCGTGCTCTTGAGAAGAGATTTTCGCTTGGTGAGAAGAGGAGATATCCCAGGGATATCCCACGAATCACTCGTATTTTCTCGGTATACACACGAACCTTTAGTTTGTATACCACGAAAATACAAGTAACAAGTGGGATACCATGGTATACCACCAGAGAGCGCTATATAACTATTTTATACCATGCCGTAGAAAATACAATGGCCAAAACAATCAAAGCGACATACGCGCGTTGCATGATGGGAGGGTTGGATGTATACCGTCGAATATACAACGACTTTTCTGTATTCTGATTGGCTGTATTTTCTATGGCATAGTATAAGACCTGATATGGGCATTAAAATTTGTGTTGTTCACCCGTAGCTTCCACAGTTATCCAGTCAATTTTTGATAGCTCGCATCTACACGCCAACCCCAGGACACTCGACTCTGAATGAATGTATGAATAAATACTCTAAAGCCAAACACTAGAGAACCTGATAATGAAAGGCCGAAGTTAGTTACGCATATCTATAGCAATGTATGTCTGCGCAATAAGCTGGAATAACATCATTGATTTCTCGGGAGGGCATTTACGTAGACTTTAACGTGTCTTTATTTTTGGATGTTGACGCAAAGTCACGGTTTGCGGTCAGCGGTTTTCTTGGAAAGCTAGGGTAGCCATTTTAGTTACTGAGCGGAGGATCTCGTTCCTTTGCTTCATTTTCTGGGCTGTTTTGCTTCACTTGCGGGAATGTCCGGAGACACTTTAAAGGTGAATGTGCTTTTTGTTTTTCAGGAGGTGTTTTACTGGGTAGATTACCCTAGATGTCGCCTAAAGATGCGACAGAAAGTCGTGACGAGTTAAAACCTGTACTAAAACTTGAACTTATAGCGCCTTGCGAAATTATTCCCCCCTACGATTATACAATTGTTTTTGGTTGTTGTGTTTGCAGAAAGCTATAGAAATCGTCACGAAGGCTACAGACGAAGATAAGGCTGGAAATTACGAGGAGGCGCTTAGACTTTACGAACATGGAGTGGAATACTTTCTGCACGCCATTAAATGTAAGTAAGCTTAACTTAGAATTTTGTATAATAATTTCACTATTCAGTCTGTGTTTGTTTGTCGCTTTATTGAAGCCCCTTTGTAGTTCCTTGTAAACCTTGGTTCGTTAGTTCTGATCTTGTCATTGAACTCAGAGTTGTCATTTCCCGAAGAATATAGTGAACGAAACTCAATTGGCTAAACTTCTTCCTGTCTGTTTTCCTGTCGAAAATCAGGAAGGGGGCATGGGTTAAGAAGAGGAAGGTTTGAATCAAGACAAGGGTGTGATGCACACAGCCAGGGAAACACACTGTAGACTTTTTATTTGTTTTGGAAGATATTCACAATTGTCAAAATAATCTAATTAAAATAATGTATCATTAGGTATGAACTGGCCAATCAGCTGCTTTGTTGTACAGGTGTAGGTCTGACAGACGATTTTAAAATTTCAAATAAATGTCCAGTCAGGTTTTTCTCATCTTGCCCCAACCTCTTATCGTCCTTCCTCCTTTTACATTTGATGTCATGACAATAAATGCTTGTTGGGTCATGAGATAAACACTGACTGGAAGCAGTTTATTAATTAAAAACATACATGTAACCCTTCACTTGAGACTCTTTATTTACTGCAAACTTACTGTTGTATATTTTTCTCTTTTTTTGTTCATTTATTTTTAAGCTAAGCTTAGCAATATGTGTATGGTGCTCCAAAGTAAGTTTGGGAATCACAAAAGAAAGAGAGCCATTTTCAGACAATCATTGATTGAAACAATTTTCATCAAAAGTGTGTAAACATTTGGGCAGGAGAGCATTTGTATAAATCATACAGGACTGTATTAATATCAAGAATTTGGTGGCTGAATACAAAATACAGGGTTCTGCTTACTTCAGGGACATGATGCTCTTGCTTGAGAGAACTGATCAACTCAAACTGACTTCTTTTTTGCAACTGTAGATGAAGCCCATGGAGAGAAATCTAAAGAGAGTATCAGACAGAAATGTGTCCAGTACCTCGAACGAGCTGAAAAGCTGAAGCAGTATGTAAAAGGAAAAAACAAAAAGAAGCCTGTGGCATCTTCTGGAGGAGGAAAAGAAAGCAGCAAAGGGTCTGTACTTGTAACTCAATTTTGCATGTGTTTGATCAATACATTAAAAAGTAAACAGGTAATGAGTATTAGAGTAATCATCACCTCAGTATTGAGAGAACGTTATTATTGTTGGAGCAGGTGGCAGATTATGCCATCTTTTCCAAGAGACTCAAAAGTACATGTATAGTGTGGCAAAGTTGCTAGCCAAGGTACATTTACCTGGAGAGCACTGGTAATTTGCACCTTCCATAACCCTGCACCTGAGAAGGAAATGTTAAACTTTTATTTAAATTGATGTCAAAAGAATTACTTCTATAATTTCTTATTGACATTTCAAAGCTGAAAATGTAGCTTTAAAGAAATGCAATCTGCGGATAGAGCAGCCAAACTTGATGTAAATATTAAGTAAGAGACATGATGTTACAATTTTTTTGTGTGTAGATGCTGATAAGTACATGGCATGTTTGTCAGAATTGAGTTGTAGAAAAGATTGAAGGACAGGATGTAGCTGTACTATGTATTTTACCAAAGATATACATGTATGATTGATTGCAATACTTTTAGAATGTTGAGTGGTTTCAAATGGATCCGTGTTGACTATAAATTACTTGGGAAATTTTAGAACCAATTAAACCTTTAATCTTAGAATACAAGGGGCATTGTCATTGATGTTTACATGTTCCAGAATGTAAAGAGCTTCTTATGAGAGTTTAAAACTATTAGTGTGTTTGTAGCTGGGTCACTGGGACCATGAAGAAATAACCATTTATGAGAAGCATTGGCCTATGAGAAGTGTTCTTTAGCAGTTGTTCGACTGTACAGTAGCTGAGTTGATTTGTATTCATGAGCATGATCCTGATACATGTATGTATTTCCTTCTTAGTGGTAAGGATGGTAAAGATGAGAGCAGTGGTGATGAAGATGAAGATGCAGAAACAAAGAAACTTAGGGGGCAGTTAAACAGTGAGTAACAAGCCGGTAGTTGTTTTATAAACACAAGCACAGTACTTAGTGTATATGTTAAAAACACACATGGAAAGTTGCACGTGCATATTACTGTTTATGCACACCTGTATAACCCTTTAAGCCCCAATAGTGCCATGTGGCACAAGATGTTATAATAAGCTTAATATTTGGCCAATATCGTTTCAGTTGCCAGTTACCCACTTGTGTACCATAAGCTTACTGTCATAGTTTTCTGTTGATGATGTTTTTTTAATCTCAGGTGCCATTGTTATGGAGAAACCCAATGTTCAGTGGTCTGATGTTGCTGGCTTAGACTCGGCAAAGGAAGCTCTAAAGGAGGCTGTTATTCTTCCAATTAAATTCCCACACTTATTTACAGGTGATTTACGTGTATGAAACAAATACGATACCAGCTTAATCATAGCAATAACAAAATTCCTTAGAGCCACCTAAAATTTTTGAAACATTAGGGTGGTTCTGAACCCCCCCCCCCCCCCCCTTCCACAGAATTTTCTTAACTTTGCAGAAGGTTTCACTTATCATGCTTATCACAGTTTGATAATAAACCTGGGTCAGCGAGCATTTTTTTTATTTATAAGCAATTAAATCTAAACTCAAAGGGTGTTACACTGCATTTCAGGGCTGCATTGTTGTTATGGTAACTTGTTATACAAAAAGGGTGATCACATTTTGAGCAATGATTGGGTATTTGTGTGCTACCATTATTTTGAGAGTCATAGTATTGATCCATTGAAGTATAAGTGTCAGAAAGAGATGAACACTATTGTCAGCCACCCATTTAAGATTAGGTACATGTATGTAAGTAGGTCAGTTGAGATGTAGGTTAGGGTTTTCTACCGTTACTTTTGTACACTACAGTGTATTAAGATGGAATCCACCAGACGTTTGAGTAACAAGTGGACAAAAACCTAGTACCAAGATTATTTACATCGTATTGCAAACTTCTGTATGACTGTTTTAAAGATCTTCTCAAAAAAATCATTTCTAGCAACACCAAATGTCGAAAACGAATGTTGAACTTTGTATGAAACACTTGAAAGTACTGGTGAAATGAAACTGATGAGGAAATTTTGCGTGTGTTTGCACAAGTTCTCTGAACTTTGAAATTCAGTTTCTCTCATTCCCTTAAGAAATTGCTTTCGGTGTTATTTCAGGCAATTATTCATGTATTTACCTTTAAGAAAATGTAAAAATGACTGTAAAATACTTAAAATTATTCTGGTACCAGATTTTTGTCCACTAAAACCTGAAATTGCTTGATTTTCTATCAGATTTTGTCTTAATTTGTTAATGTCCTGATTCCCGAAACAACTTGGGATAAAGTTGTATCAAACCCAGCTCTGCTCCTGCTTTGAGGATCTAATTTGTGTTTCTCATTAATCCTTTCCCCACCAAGGAGGTATAATAATTATATACATGTATGTGCTAAGTGGTGTAGGTTGTGTCACCCAACCACTGAGGGAGTATGTAAGTCCTCAAACAAAATACTATGCCGAGAGCCCTGTTGTTTGTGGTGGCTATATATTATCAATCATTCACAGTCTTTTGGCAAAATACAATGTAATCATTGTAGTCACCTGGAGATGGAGAGGGTGTTTAACTCTTGTATCCAAGGGGTTAACGTTTATATTGACACAACTGTTATACATTTTTAGGGAAGCGTAAACCATGGAGTGGAATTTTGCTTTATGGGGTAAGACATCTGAGCCATGTATCTACAGTCTCGTTTTGTTGTTGTTGTTTTAAATCCAGAGCTATCATATATGTTTGACTTGTGATATAAAGTTATGACTAGTAAATGGTTTTAACCTGTACAGTGTACTCTAACCCTGCCAAAAAATGTCAAAGGAATGTACATTATTATTATAAGCTTACATATAGGATATATTACACAGTAGGTGCTAAAATCCCTTTGTTTTTACAATGTAACTTGACCCCTCAATATCAGAGAGTATGAGTTGCAGATTTAGTGTGGTTAGGGTGGTACTGGTTAGTTAGTGTGTTCAATTCCAGATTCAGTGTTCCAGGTTTGAGCCCTGTTGGGATCATTGTGCAGTGTGTTCTTGAGTAAAGAAACTGTTGCCTCATATTGCCCCTCTCAAACTAGAGTGTAAATGGTTGGGGCAACTGGTAATCTTTGAGGCAATTGTGTTAAAGTAGATTTGATCCCTGATACTGTTTGGCCAGTTCTTTCAGGATGTGCTTGTAATAGACTATCCGACTCAGTTGTTTTCAAAACTTTCCTCAGCCAGAGGACCACACTTGACAAGGCACTGTTGTTCTTGGATTCAAACCACGTACCATTTTACAAAGTATTGATCAATCTTCATTTTCTTGTTAGCCTCCTGGCACAGGAAAATCATATCTAGCAAAGGCTGTGGCAACTGAAGCAAACAACTCCACATTTATATCTGTGTCATCATCTGACTTGGTGTCCAAATGGCTTGGAGAAAGTGAAAGGTACAGTTTGAATTACTACTGTTGATATACACTCAGTTGTTATCTCTTTCTCAAGTATGCACAAACCCTTCTCCATTGTCCTTACATTGTGCAGTAGTCTTGTGATTGTGTGATGGTATTGCACCCAACCTTCCAATTGTGGACAAATTTGTTTTTTACAATAACTGTCTAATTTCTCATGCGCTGATTGGCTCATTTTTATCATCAATAAGAGTACAGACAGATAAAATTTTAATTTATGCAAGTTCAACTTTCAGCTGTCAAACTGTCAACTTTTTAACCAATGAGATTTTATGGACTTTTTTAAGTAGCCAATCAAAAAGCGAGAAAAGCTATTGACAGTGTTTGCATCATTTTGAATAAAATTCACTTACATGTATCTTTGTTTGTGGCAATTTTACGGTGTCTTTTCCCCTCATTTATTCCCAGCATTTGACCATTTTGGGGTCTTGTTATTGTAAAAAACAAATTGACATCAGTTTTTTTATGCATCTGTCCACTTATTGGTGACAAATTTTGTCCTAACATTGTGAAAGTTTACTGCAGAACCACTTGCTTGGGGTTCATGGTTCCATAGCCACCTTGAAAATGTTATGAAGCAATTTATCATCAATAAGAGGACAGACACATAAAAAACTGACATCAATTTGTTAATTGGAAGTACTCTGAAATGAGTTAATAAGTCATCTTCAGAAGTCTTTCCACACCCAAGGGTTGTGGGATTTCTTGTGGATGGAAAGATACTGTAGATAAAATCTATTTGAATTGTTTTGCAGGCTTGTAAAACAACTGTTTGAGCTAGCACGTGACAATAAACCAGCCATTATCTTCATTGATGAAGTGGATTCCTTGTGTGGCTCCAGAAGTGAAAATGAAAGTGAATCAGCAAGAAGAATAAAAACAGAGTTTCTGGTTCAAATGCAGGGTATGTTTGGTTTGTTTTGTGGAGTTGTGGTAAAAGCTCTGTGAAAATGCTTATCTTGGATGTAATAGCATATTTATTGAATACAAGAGGCAGCATATTACATTTTAAACACTGAGAAGACAGTTCAAATATTTTCGGTGAAACTTTAAGTGTTTGGATACTAAGGAGTAAACTGAGAAATAAAAGTGTTTAACCTTGATAAATGAATCAATTTTACTGAGTTTGAGAATGTCCTTGACTTGAAGTAAAAATTTACCAATAAGCAGGGGTTCCTAAGGCATACATGTATACACTGTAGACACGTATTCAAAATGAAGAAAACTCTCTTTACTTTGTGGCAAGCTGAACATGTCAAGCCATTGAAAACAACAATGAGCTGTTAAGAAACTAGGAAACAATACGTCAGCTCATTAATACTAACAAGGCATATGCCAGTACACTGTATACACAAATGTACACGCATACAATGTTTTTGCATTTTTGGCTGATGCAAATTATGCGGATCTTTTGGTTCACTGATATCTGAGCTGTATTTTATGTTTACAAAGCCTCATTTAAAATAGTTATTACTTCACAACCAAACAGAGTGTGTGTCTTATGGTTACTGTCCATTTAGTGCCTTCCTTCCAATGAGATGCCCTCCCACCTCCTCCCTCNCTCAATGTATTCTGTTTCTTCACTTAAGGTGTTGGTGTTGACAATAAAGATGTACTTGTGTTAGGGGCCACTAACATTCCATGGACTCTCGATTCTGCCATCAGGAGAAGGTACAGAATCCATGATTTTTCAGTTTTAATTCATTAACTTCTGGTGATTTCACTCCTTCGTGCATATCATGACTTCGTTCACTCTCCTAAATCAAACCTTGAGTAATGTGCAAGGTGCTTCTAACTTTTAAATCTGTTGATGAAATCCCACTGTGTTTCCACCCAAATGAAAGCTATTGAGCAGTACATGTACTTTCAAGTGGTACACTTTACAGTATTCCACTGTATAATGTGGTTCTAACTTTCAAGTCTGTAGATGAAAGGTACATGTTCCCTTAGCTACATGTAATGTGTGACAATTTAAATGAAAGCTATTGAGCAGTACTTTCATGTGGTACTGTTTATTTTGCTGTACAAGGTGGTTATAACTTTAAAGTTTGTATAAAAAAAGCCCTAGTATGTGATCATTTAAGGGCCCATTAACCGATTTATGCGCGCGCTCGCGCGTGTTGGTAAGGAGGTGAAATTTCACTTCCGGTTACTTACGTCAGCCTGAGCGCACAAAATAAAAATAACTCAATAACTTCCAAATTCGCTCAAATTTTAGATGTTTTTCTTTGTGTTTCACAAATTGCAAAATAAAAAAAGTACAAGCAAAGACAAAAAAAGAGAAAGACAGAAAACCAAGAGCAATAGAAAGAGAAAAACTACCTCTGTGTGGCTTTGTTTGATCTTACCGAAGTGAGCTGGAAGGGTAAATTGCGCACGCGCTGATAGGGTAACTTCCAATATATATCGGGCGCACTTCCGGTTTCTTTAAATGCTAAAGGA